TGACGCTTCTTTTCTGTTGCACCCCCGTTCAGACGGTGCTCGTGCTGCCCGGCCAGCAGGGCCACGTCCCCCCCGGGGAGGCCTGTCGCGCCTGGAGCAGCGCCTGCTGGAGTCCAGGGGGCCGGCGCGCGGTGGGCGCGGCTGTGCGCACGCTGCTGCCCAGGCCGGGCCTCGAACTGCAGGCAAGTGCATCGCTATGTTAAAACGGTGTTTTTGGCGCAAGCAAAATTCCTCCGATTCAAATTTTTTTAGGTCAAGCGTATCAAAGCTTGAGCTTTTACTCGCAAAATGTGCGAGGCTGTGTGTACAGTTTGGTCAGAGGCCTAGGTTTGGGAACTGTGGAGGTGGGGCGGAGGGCCCGGGCTGAGGCAATGACACTGCTCAGAAACTACAAAAAAGGAATATTTTATAGGGGGGGCCCGAGCGTCGCCGTGGCCGTGGCCGTGGCCGTGGCCGTGGCCGTGGCCGTGGCCGTTTTTCGACTTCAGGCCTACCAGGGTAACAAGAAAGCTGAGGAGGTCGACAGTTCCTTTTGATGCAGCCTGCACCATATATGCCCTCCTTCGGACCGCGGCCCGCGTGACCCCTCCGGCCCCTCCCGCGCACAGCGGCGCGCGGCGCGACAGGCCCGACGTCCCCCTCCCCCCCCCCCTCGGCCGCGCCGCCGCGGCCCCTGTTCGAGCTGTCATAAACGGCGCTCAGCGAGTCCCCAATTTTTACGGCCGTCAATATGGAAGACTTCAGACTTCCCCGATGCTTTTTGTACGCAACCACACCAATTTTTTTGGAGTGTGACAGGCCAATAGCTCATGATGAGCGGAATTTTGATACCAAGCAACAAAAAAAATGTGACGGTGGGGAAATATTCAGCGTGCGTGATGCTTTTCTGTGCGCAATCACGGGCATCAGTTCGCAAGTGAAACAAAACCGCGGCCACAGCTAGGCCGAAACAGAGCCCGGCGCCTCCCGGCCAACGCCACCAGGACCGCGGCCGCGCACACCCAAGCTTGACCTGGCCCTGAGCTGAAGCAAAGCTCTCAGCAGAGGTTTTTTTTAAGCGGTCTTGCTACCGCTTCTAGCTCTACATCCGATCCCACTCACCCCATCCCATCCCATCCATCCATCTATTCAGCGCGCTCGGAGGGGACTGCATGGTCGTGTTGGTTCCGTCGTCCGTCGTCGTCCTGCGCCGCCACGCCGCGCCGCCGCGCCAGTCCCCACTCCTCACAGCCACCCCCTCCCTCCTCTCTGCCCGGCCTCGCCTGCCGGGCCACGGCAAGACCGCTTTGCTAAGCTTGCCTTGGCGGAACTTTTTAGCAGATGATACGTTCACGTATCAGCGTGCTTGTACTCTCGTGCAGAGAGTACCGAGTTTCCGGCTAGCCAGGCAGGAGTTGCCTCGTTGCCTGACTAGCAAGCCTAGAAGAGGCCGAGCGCCTCGCTGGCAAGGCACCGGCTGGCTCGCCTGCCTAGAAGATTATGAGCGGAGGGCCCGCAGTCTGCCGCGCCGCGCCGTCGCCCGCCGCACCATGAATCGGGGCGCCTGCGGGGCCTCGGGTTGCGCGCGCGGCGTATAACCTCGACACACTGAGAGAAAAGTTTTGTTGCCAGAATCGAACGTTCGGTAGCCACGACTAAACCTGTTTGGTAACTTTTGAAGTAATCAAACAGTTCGGTTCCCCGTACCGAAGTTGTTTTTTGATGCTGCTTGATGCTCATTAAAAAACCAGAATGGGCCTCCGATGACCCTAGTTAGTAGCTGGGTAAAAAACAAGTTTATTTCTGACTACCGAACAATGTTTGATCGGGTTTATCGACTGCATTGATCATTTTAACAGCGTCGGGCAAAATTGTCTCAGCCCGCGGATCCGTCTTTCCCGCCGGTATTCAATACCCACAGTCCATTCCCTCGCCATTCAAATGATTTGTGCGCGGGAAAACTGGTTACGCATCGCCGGGAGTCGAACCCCCGCCGAACCCGTCTACTATCCAGCCTCCAGGCACGGAACCAACTGAGCCACCGTGACAACTGAGAAGGGACGGGATGTCGTAGCCTCTAGACTGACAGCCCGACAGCAGTGACGTCATTCGTCATTTTCCCAAATTCATCATAAGTCCTGTCGAGCGTTGTGTTATTCTATCAAACACCAACCTAAGTCCAAAGTAGTTTAGTAGCCACGACTGAACTGGCGGCAATCAAACCACTTTCATAGTGTACATCATTTTGATTTTGATTGGATGGACCAAGTTGTTCGTTTGTGCTGAAAAAACACGATTTTTATCGGATACAAAAGGGGTTAGTGTTCACGACGAAACTCTTTCTACCTGGTTCCCAAAAACTTTTTTTATCTGCGACAAAGCCTTATCAATCGAACAAAGTTCAGTACCGGCATCAAAACATTTTTCTCAGTGCACCCAGCTCTCTAGTACTCAAGAAGTGCGTCCCTCGCGTTGCGCGTCACGAGACGCTGCTAGCACGCATCGCGTAGCTGCCCCCCTCGCCCATTCCCTAGCCGAGACGCCAGTCCCGCCGCGCCCCGCCACCCCCCGCAGCAGTCTACACACACACGCACTTGAGCCTTGAGTGCGTAGAACGCGTAGTTCAGCCCCCCCCGAACCCCTGCCCCTCTCGAGAAGCGGCGCGTCGGCAGTGTGCGCCACTCTTGCTTATCTATCTTGAGGTCGGGTTCGGGTGGCGCGCCGGCCGGCCGGCCCCGTTTGGGAGATGGGCTGACACGCCGCGTGCCGCAAGGCGCCTTGCCCTAGTACCAAACACAACTTTTACGGGTATTGAGTATTTATGTGATTAGCCACCAAATTGTGCATCCTCGCGTTGAAACAACGAAAATGATACCCAACACAAGTGGTATCGGACATATGAGTGCCCCACCGTCATTGCGAACATGTTTAACACAAAACAATGGCACGTTAGGATATTCAAAACTTATACTAAAATTGACATTTCCATGAATTACCATGTGTAACAAATTTGTCAAAAAAAAAAGAGTTCCGAGTGTTTACTCTTTGAAATAAATTGACAAAATGTCACATTCATACATTGAAATAAACATTCTCATAAGTATCATCTGCTTTCACGTTAGCGTTAGCGTTAACGTTTTTTTTTTGTATTTTGGTACAAGAACATACCTAGTAACGCGAGGAAAAACTCCATTGCTTGCACCATTTCCTCCTTACTAAGGGAAATTTCTTCGTTAGGCATTTTGAGTGCAACTCAGTGTTTTCCGTCTTGGAGACTGCTTCATCGCGTTCATTGAATCTCCTGCTGACTTTGCCGCTCGTTCCGGATTCCCCGCTTCAGCCACCGCTCCGTGCTCAACATGAGCGAGGCCCTGCAGCGCATGGGCTTGGACGAGCTGTTCTCCTCGGACCACGCCGACCTGCGCGGACTCAACGGGGTGGCCAACGACTTGCACCTGTCCGACGTGGTCCAGGTGAGTCACGCTGACGCCTGGTCCTCAGCGGCAAGCCACGGCGTGGCGGGGCGTGGCGCGGCGTGGTGTGGCGTGTGGCGTGCCTTTATCCGAGCCTTTATCATCATCATCATCATCATCAGCGCTGTTAGGCCTATGCAGACCTTTAGTGGTTCGGGTCAGCAAGACACACCGACCTCGCGCGACCGCGCCGAAACGCCGCGCCTCATTGCAGCCCGCGTCGTGTTGGCAATGACAGTGGCGTGGCGGTGGCGTCCGCCTTACGCGCCGCGCCCGCTCCGCCGCACCAACAAGGCCGTCAGCTGGGCCACTAGTAGACTGATTCCGAGAGTCTCACTCCGTCTCTCTCGCACCTCTACGGGAGGCCCTATGAGTGTGAGAGAGACAGAGCGACGGAAACGACCCTCAGTCTGCAGTCAGCACCGGCGGCCTGGGCGCCCGAGGGGGGGCTCACTGAGAAAAATCGTTGTACAAGGCCAAAAAAAATCATCACCACGTCGAGTCCCACGTCCCCGTTGGCGTCGCCGGGGCGGCGCGCGGTCCGCGGCCGCCGGCTGCGGCCCCGCGAGTGTCCGAGAGCGACGACCCCAGCATCGAGCTGCACCCGGACAACGTCGGCAAGGACAGGTGGGTCAGCGCCACACAGTGGGCCAGAAGACCTAAACTTTAGACGCGGTTTGAGCTCGAGAGTCGCTTAACAGGACTCGAACCGGAGCGTGTGACCCGCACCAACGGATGCCTCGTTCGGAGAGCAATCCATTGGTGGGGTCACACGTTCGGCTTCGGTTCGAATCCCATTTGGTCGCTGGAGCTCTAAACGCTTCCCGGAGCGAGGGGGAATTCACTTTACTCTAAAGTTGGAGTGCCCAGAAACTGGGTGCCTATGTCGCCCGCCCCACTTTTTAGGGTGCCAAATGTCGCCCAGTTTCGCGGCACCTTTGTCGCCTAGTCTCGGATTGAGTGCCGTTTAGAGCGCCAATTAAAGCTTTTAAATTTTAACAAATGTGAAATTTATGAGTAAATCAAGGTACCCATACTCATGTGTACACCAGAACGCAGAGTGATTCGCCCCTCGACTTTCTATTTTAGGCTTAAATAGTTTGTAAGGTTTTCAGAGTGTGTGTTTGGGGATGCTTCTCGCCGACGTCCGTGGCAACACTGCCCTGGTCAGCGCGGCGAGCGAGCAGCCCCCTCCCTCGGTCGATCCTTTCAAGTTTCCTTCGTGCGCACACGCTATTTTTAAGTCGGCACCAGAGTTGTGCCTTGACACTCCACTTCCATGAAAATCCATGCTTATTGGCCGACTGGCACCGTATTGCTGGCAGGTTGCTACCAATGGGCCATGAGATTAGTCAATATTTCGTTAAAGCGGGTGTCTACACTGTTATTCCTGGGTGTTCAATAACTAAGCGCCTTAAGGCGTTTGCCTCAAAAACCTAGACGCCTTGATGCGCTTAGTTACTCAACGCCTAAGGCGTTTAGTTACTCAACGCCTAAGGCGTTGAGTTACAGGACACCTTTGCTTGGCCTGTACCCACCACAACAGCAGTGGGAGTACTAATGCAATACAAGCTGCCCTTTTCCATTGCGTCAAGGCGTCCAACTACTATACGCCTTCCAAGGCGTTTAACTGCTAGACACCTTGGAGGTGTGCAGAGGCTGAACAGCTTGACTGTCTTTGAATACAGCCATGCCATCCCTTGTTTGAACCAAGGTGTTTAGCAGCTACGCACCTTTGAAGGTGTCTTACCATTAAACGCCTTGCAAGGCGCGCAGCAGTTAAACACCTTGACACAATGGGCCAGGGCAGCCTGCACTGCT